AATTCCCATACCAGCAATCACAGTCCACGACCAGTCAACTAGCCAACCATCTAACCAACCAGCCAGCACTCGATATTATCGATATTGATCAGAACAGTATACATAGGGCTACACAACACGTCCTTAACAGCGACACGCCAACACGATCACTCGATCGTCATCGACGTCGTCTGCAGTGCAGCATCAAAAAAAAAACGCTCACCTTCTGTAACAGCAACTCACACATACCCTTGTATGTATGTACATTAAAGAGATCTCGGTAGCTCAGCATCTGAGCATCAACCTGCGCGGCTGCGTAGCAGATTGCAAAACCAGCATAACAAGAATTTCTTTCCATGTATCTAAATATCTACCTGTTTTTATTTCCATGCTTACGACTCGGCATTGGCGGCCGTGAGTAACTAAGAGAATGCACAAAATGCTGTGAGTAGTTGGATGTTGACAAATATTTTGAAAAATCAAGGTAGTACTTGAGAGTGAGCATCCATAGTGTGCACTGTGGGGCGGCTAAGAAGCTATTTTAACACAAAAAAAATATGAGAAAGCGAAGACACCCTGACTTATCGGAATCTATGCTGATATCAGTTGAGTAAGATCAAAATGTTTACTTAAAAAGTCTTAAAAGAAGCATATAAATATATATGTATATGTATTAAAATTGCACTCTTAATCTTTCTAGACACTCAAATTGCATGTATCTACGCTCGATTTTTCCCGAGTCAGATGTATGTAAGTATGTATATTTGGCCAAATTTTATCTACCTAGATCTTTTCCGTGATTCGTGAAATATGGCTGACCTATGAAATAGGTTAGGTTAATATGGCTCGCTGGTTACCACGGATAGACTGTTTACGGGAACCAGATATAGATCGAGCTTTAGGCTAGGTTAGGCTGATGTGACAGTCAGTTCAAATAACCAACTCACTTCGGCCTTGCAGGTGCATTGTGACACTACTGTCAAACACGGGAACCTCAATGACTATTTTCCATAGAACCATTTTGAAGGTCTTACTAAGCGTAGAATTGGTTTTATTCCCGCATCGGATAGTTCCGTAAGAGCGCTAAATAAGTGCCAACCCAAAATGCCTGCACTGCTCACAGCTAAAGCTGTTCAACAGCGGAATAACTGGTCGACTGTTTCTTCCTCAACCTCGTCTCTGCAACTTCTCCAATGTTCATGCGCGAATATTCTTGATCTCGAAGAAATAGCCAAAGACCGGAGTTATCCTCCGCATTCCGTTATGTAATGGGAGGCCAAACCTTGTATTTTTCCATATGCTATGGACAATTTTCTCGATTCCATCCACAACACCGGCGTTCTATAGTGTAATATTGGAGTAGGTGACAGACACCATGTAACGCCTAGAGCTGTATTACCTTAAAAAGCTTTTCATTACGCTGCTGATGGTCTCCAGGTACTTTTCGTTAGCTACGATTAGTCAGAGAAGAGGCGATAGAATGCCCATTGTTGTGTATCTTTACATGCTTTGTTTGGTTAGCTTAGCTTCATTCTATTCCGCTCTTATATTCCTGTAATATAGTAGGTTTTTGGTATGCGGCTTGATGTTACCATACAAAATAGGGACCTATAGTTTTACGCAACCTCCGAACGGAAGATAGATTTTATGAGGAGCATTTTTAGTGCCAGTAGTACACTCAGAGGGCAACCGTTATTGGAACAAAGCTGTTCGCTCGACCGAGAATCGAGCCTGGGTCCCATCGAGTAGAGACTCGCACCTCTAAATCCTCGACCACGGCAGCTGACCTTTGGCTAATTGCCTAATTGGCGCTATACCAACCGAAACGATTTGGGTCTTTTAAAAAAGTTCCATTAAGCCCACTTGAAATCAAATTGCAGCCAAGACCTTTTCCAACCGGTCTTCATATCCCAGAGGAGGCCACCATCTTACTCTACTAGCAGCAGCGGGTATCGTCTTGAATACCGTCAGAGGTGGAACGTTTAGGGCCATTTCTGCGACATAATAGGTAAATTATGTTTTTATCGCCGTACAGCTCATACTTACACCGAGGCTACTTTCTTCTTCTTATTATAGGTTTTTTATGTGGAATATTCTAAGTAAAACGAGTCACAGATCCGTGTGCAATTTTGCACGAAAACATTCCCACTTGCCCGCCAAACTGACTGGTGTACACTTTGGCATGCCGCTTTGTAACCCAAGGCTCCAAATGAGTTCCGTATCTCGCACTTTAGTAGACAACGTAGTCCAGGGTAAATGAACGTCTAATACAAAACTTATGAAATGGATGAATGTTCAACTAAGGTTGCATCCTAAGCACTTCTTTACTGAAACAACATCTTGATGATAAGCAGATACCAACAAACATTTTATGTACATAAATGCCAGGTACATTCGGGTCTTTCGAATGTGAGGGTGAGCGGAGCTTAGACCTTCATGGGAGAGTTTGAGCACTCTTGACTACTGGGTGTTAGGGACTTCATGTCTTTCTAAATTGGATATGGATTGGCATTAGAAACGAATAAGCATACCTAAAATTTAAGTCATTTAAATAGTAATTATATAGTTTCCAAACTAACACACTGTGCCAGGCCAAAGGCGATGAACAAATACTGCTTCAAAGATGTTGCTAGATAAGGCTCAAAGTGATATTTTTGAGAGAGAGCACCGTCTTGTTTATCAGGGTCTTACCTCCGTTTTACGATTATGATTGGAGCAACAACAACAAATATGCATTAACACACATATGTACATATGTACATTCTTGCAACTCTAACATTATTTACCCAATTTGCCAAACAACTTCGTAACGACGTCGTTTGCGACTCGTTCTGGTGAACAATTTGTTCGCCGGCGAACCGCAAGAAACGATGCTCGACATCTTTAACAAAAACCATACGAATCAAATTTCAAATTGTGCGCAAAATTTAAAGAACAAATCAGCAAGCACTCCTAAAAATTTCAAACTTTTCAATCGAAATAAAAAGAAGAATTGTAAGAGTTTTATAGCTGATGAAATTTTAGTATAATAGAGTACAAATTTTGTACGGAAGAAACGTTTTCGTTTCGACGTCGTTACGAGTTCACCCAAAGGACTTCACCAGACCGACGTCGTAACGACGTCGATTCGATTAGAAAAAACGAAATCGAAACGACGTTGCGTTTTGTATGGAAAAAACGATTTCGTTTCGAGGTCGTTTCGAGTTGGCCAAAACGACTTCACCAGACCGACGTCGATTCGAACTCGTCCTCGCTCTGTGGCAAATTGGGTAATCACAGTGTTGGCTATCAGTTGGTACGCTTGTTTGTTTCTACGTTTGTCTGTTAGCTGTCTGCTCGAGCCGTCTTTTGAGCTATACTCACACCATGCGCACACATACCAACCTACCAACATACATACATACATACCTATGTACAAACAACGATACATCCCAACAAGCATTTCAGTAAACGTTTTTAAAAATAACTTAAATTAAGTTTGCTATAATAAGCGTTAAATAAGCATTTTTAATATTAAGCTTATTAAAAGTTTTTTCAAACAAACCTTTAATAAGTTTTGAGAGCGAATGTTTATAAATAACTTAAACTTATAAATGAAATGTAAATGCCAACGACATGAAGTAGTAAATATAAAATTTTTTCAATCGTAAGTGACGTGTTTACGTTTTTTAAAATATATTATTAAAAGAAAAAATTAAATAAAACCAATGCGGTAAAACAAGAAAATCCAATCCAGGACCCGCTGCGCTAATGGTGGAGCATTCGAGTCTTCAAATGATGAGTTCCCCTTATCCTTTCTTAGTTTAACATTCAATTAAAAACGTATTAAATTTTTTTCAGAAAAGTTCATCAATGAGAATGGCGGCGATAAAGCGCAATATATAGCTGCATCGATGTCCCTTTTCCAATTTGCCAATAACCCCAAGTAATTGAAAGCACGCAACAAGATGTAATAATTAACTTTTTTATGCTTAATTTGTATGTGTTATTGTGAATTTGTATGCTAAAATGTCTATTCCCTATTTATATTTTCGCGACTGTAGATGAGTCCGCGGAAAATTCGCATTTCGTTTAGTTTCTAGATGTTAAGCAATCTATGTATGAGGTTTTAATGAAATATCTTTAAATAAAGGGTTATAAAAATGTTTATAAAAAGCTTTCTTTTGAAAATTTTTAGTAAGTTTATATTGATACGCTTATATAAAACTTTTTTTGAACCTTTATTATAAGTTTACACTTTTACGCTTATTAAAAGCTTTCTTTTGAACATTTATTACAAGTTTATATTTCTACGCTTATAACCAATGTTCCTTTTCGATTATATTACGCTTACTTTCAAGCGTTTTATAAACAAAAAATCAACGTTTTGTAAGCTTAATGTTTATAATTGAAAACTTAAAAAAAACTTTCTTTAAGTTTATTTTGCTTGTTGGGATGTGTGCGTATGTTTGTTTTTTTTTGTTTGTTTAAACGTCGTTTTGAACTTCGTCTTTCGCACGTAGATCGTCTGTCCAACGGCGCGCTCATCTCAGCACGTTTGGCTAGTGTACCCATATACTACACCTATCCAGTACAAGTTCAATAATCAAAGCGTAAAGTCACTGGACAAACGATTATACATAGCAACGGCAAAGGTGGCTACGTTAACGATGAAACACCAAAATACTGAAGAAAGATCAAAAAGTGACTAAACGACCTAGCGACAGCAACTTACCCCAAAGGTTGTTTGAATTCTTTGATTTGTGTGCTTCTTCTTTCGGAGATTTGGATACCAATTTTTTTGTCGGGCGGTGTTTTTTTATTTTGCATTTCATTTAGAATTCGAATTGAATTTTTGTTTAGTCGTTAAATGCTACATTTAAGAATTTTGTGACTTTTGTGATGCTAAACCAAAGCAATACAAAAACATGAAATTTAAAGAGAATTATGTATTTAATATGTTCAAAAGAAACCACGAATTTAGTTTTCAAAATTTCAAATTGATAATTTGTTTTCTGTTTTTTCTCTTTCTAAATTTTTAGTTAATCCATTGAGGTCATTATTATTCATGCGTCAATTCTGTGAACTGATTTATGCGCATGGAATGATTTAAAGCGCCTTGAGCTGCACAATCAACACAAAAGTGGAGGACGGTGCGCGCCAGTCAAGTCGCCTGAGGCGCTCAGTAAAACAGTTACAATACGCGCAGCGGCTTGTCGCAGTTAGCGCTGCGTTGTTTATATATATATGTATGTACGTAGCTGGCTGTTTCACAAGCGTGCGCAAAATATTTGTCATTATCATTAACGCCAGAGTATTAAATGTTATCGGCTGTTGAAAATTTTGGCCCGTTGGTCGGACCGGCTGTCGCACTCTCACACCATCCCCATGCCGTGACGCATCACCTGCAAGCCCAACACCATCAGCATCCCGCTCAGTGTGGCTATGCGCTGGACATAGTTTCCGGTACTTGTGCTGATGCGACGGTGCGCTTTTCGCCAACGACGACGTCAGCAGCTGTTGCCGGCGGCGGCGGCGCCACCATTATCACCACCCAAGCACCACTCACACACACGCAGTTAACGCAATTGAATGCATTACAAGCGCTCAAGTTACAACAACAAATTCAACAACAGTACGAGCAGCATTTGAGTACGTTTCTCAACGCCTCCTCACAGTCTTCCCCGATAGCTGGGCTGACGGTGCTGCCGCACCGCCCCCAACCTCAGGTAGCAGCGCTTAGTGAAGCGAACGCCTCATTGACGCATAAGCAACAGCAACAGCAACAACACCAGCAGCAACAGCAGCAGCAGCACTACCACTTACAACAACAACAGCATCATCAGCAACAACAAATAAGAGAACAACAGTCACTCAGCGTTAATTTGACGCGCTGCTCAAACGCGCCTAAATATATGAATTCGCCGCACGATACCTCAGCAATGATGCCGCTAGCGGAGTTCACCCCACCACCAAAGCCAAACAAGCATGAGCTACACACACGCACGCTTGAAAATGGCCAATCTGGTCCCATGAACCTGGTCACAAATGCGAGTAATGCCTATGCGAGCAATACAAGTTACCAACCGTTAGCGGCTAACAACACTAGCAGCAATAACAGCAGCAACACCGCATCCATCGACAACAGTCGCCCGTCATCCTCCTCCTCCTCTGTGGATGTGGAGAATGATGAGAGCATGTCACCGGTCAGTAATAGTTCCGCGCAAGTCGGTCGCAAAGCTTTAGATCATACTGCCTTAATCGCCAGCGGCGGCACAGCCACCAAACAGCCCGCCTACAGTGAAACCAGCGCATCCTCAGCGGCTGCGGCCGTGGTAGCCGCTTACCAATACAACTATTCTCAACTCTACGGCGCTGGTCGTCCAGCTGGTCTCTACAATGCACCCGTTATTTTTGCAACGCACAATCCGCACGTCTCGCAACATATAGTGCAGCAGCATCCTAGTGGCGTACATGGCGCCACACATGTTCCACCTGGCTACCTCAGCGCGCTGAGCACGCATTCACCAACTGTTTCGCCAGGCGAGGGTGGTGTCTACCCCGCCGAGTACTTGAAAGCGCTACAAAACGCGGTGGCCGCTGGTGTATTTCAAGCGCCGCCACCCCATACAACGCCCGTCTTCCAGACCTCGCCGCTAGCCAATAGCAATTCAAGTGCGTCGGCCGGTATAGCTAAATCGCGATTACGCAGCCCCGCTGCTACAGGTACAATTGGAGCACAGGCGCCGGTCACCTCGCCGCCGCCGCCGTCGAGAGGCGAGCAGCGAACAGCGACAACGACACAGCTCTCGACGGGCACTTATTTGTATGAGAAGGCGAAAAGGACGCCACCCGATACGCCGTCGGATACAGAGAAATTCTTCAAAATACCCAGCGGTAAAGAGGGATCACTGAAGCATCGCATACTCACGCGGCCAACGGGCGTTGACAAGAGCGCGACGACGATGACAATGGTGACCACAACGGAGGCTGCGAAGCCACCTGTTATGCGGTGAGTGGTCGGTTTTGTTTTTGGGAAAATTCTACTTGAAATTAAATAGTATTAGTTTGGATTTTAATGACTTTTCCCCATTTTAGCACACACAATTCGACATCCAGTTTCAGGAAGGGTTCATATATTGAGCTCGCGAATGGCTCGCTACGTCGTGTGGAGGATATGCGCACCGAAGACTTTATACAATGCGCCGAACGCAGTCCCCACCATCAGTTAATCGAGTCCACTGTAGTTAAAATCAGCAACAACCAAGCGGCGAATACCGTTATCATAGCATTTAGTTACGATCGGAATCAATCGAAGGTACGATTTTTTTTTCGAGTGAGCAAAATATTTGATCAAAAACCTATGAAAAACAAATGACGGCCGATAAAAGGGAATACATACAAGGCGGGTAGTGAGGACCCAGGAAGCTAGCTTTTCACAGAAATCCACCTACCTTCCGAGGCGCGTAAAACTATAGATCCTCCAATTATGTAAAAACAAGACACACAACTTTCTTCCATGAACATAAAATAATCGATATTTTTTGAAGTGAAACTTTTTAATCGATTTCGGAGTTGTTTGCGTTAACCCTTAAGTGGTATCTTAAATAAGACATACTGGGGATGTGGAGAGGCAAAGACAACGATATAGACAAAGACAAAGATAATGTAAAGTACAGGGATAACGACAGAGATAAAGAATAAAACAAAATCAAAGACGCAGTAAAGTATAAGGCTGCGACAAAGACAAAGACTAATAAACAACAACAAAATAGAGATAAAGATTAAGATTGAGAATAAGGAGTAGATTAAGATGAAGGTGAAGATAAAGATACGATTAAGTATCGAAATAAGAAAAAAATTTAAAAACCAGAAATTTGATAAAAAAAAACTAAAAATCATGAAAACTGCCCAAAAGGATCGAACAAATTTAAATTATATACATATATTAAAAATGCAAAAACTAGAAATATGATCGAAAAACTAAAAATTATGAAAACTGCCCAAAAGGATCGAACAAATTTAAATTATATATATTAAAAATGCAAAAACTAGAAATATGATCGAAAAACTAAAAATTATGAAAACTGCCCAAAAGGATTGAACAAATTTAAATTATATATTTTAAATCCCGTCTTCGCGCGCTGACTTCTTCAGTACATATTCTGTATATATCGCATTTAATAATGCATTACTCTCTTGTCTTTCAGGTCGACATGGATATCGCTACCGATCATCCGTTCTTTGTTTACGGTCAAGGCTGGGCATCCTGCAATCCCGAATTAACCTTAAAGGCTTACGGCCTGAAATGTCAACGCTTGCAAGTCGGCGACATTTGCATTTCACTCACCAAACGCGAACCACCGAATATTAATATAAAAAACCACAACAACACTAATAACAATAACAACAATAATAATAATAACAACAATAACAACAATAATAGCACTAATAGTAATAAGCATTCATATTTACATGACGCAACTGTAACGCATGTCACAACAAACGAAACACACGGCTTAGAACGCGATCTCCAACCACTCATACTCAGCGACAATATTTATGCTACGCATTTGAAAGGCGCCACCGTATGTCCACCCACTGCACAATATCCCCCACCCATGCTACGTAGTCCCCTAGGCACAATGCATTTTATGCCACCACATCTTTTAACCAATGCACCGCCACATCCGGGATATGCGCCTGCGGACGGATATGCGCGCTTTACCTTTCACGCGCCACACACACAACCCACAGCCACGTTGCAACACAGTGACGCGACGTCGGCAACAACGCCATCAGCACCGCCTCTATCGGCTAACACAAGGCAAGATGAGCGCGAACAGTCGTCGGCGGCGGCGGTGGCGGCGGCGGCAGCAGCAGCGTCAGCACGCAAACGTCGTTGGTCGGCGCCCGAGAGTTTCTCCAATAGTGAGGATGAGGATGAAGAACGGACGGACGGTTATAAACCACCATTGCGACAAAAGTCTGCGCCAACGGCAGCGGTAAGCTGTAATTATAAGCCTTATCTACCGACGCAAATGCCAAGCGTTGCAGCGCCGGCGGCGACGGCTGGTCAATTTAACTGTGATTTTTCAACAAACTACAAATAGCAAAAGATCTCAATGTCGGCGTGGATATTTGTCAAGGCTAGGGTGTAGTGGGCGGGAGGATGAAGATGAGGATGAGGATGTGGCATCAAAGCGGCGCTTAATATTTCAGGTCTCATTCAATGATCACACATACTTATGTACATATGTATGTATGTATGTATGTATGTACATTATTTAATGTTTAAGGCACTTGCGTGTGTGTGTGTGTATAATTATGTGTGTGTTAATGCTTCAAGCCGTGTTTGTTGAAAGTGTGTGTTACCAATTTGCCAAAGCATTTGGTTCTACTTAGGAAATTACTAAAACATTTTTATTATCAAAAAATAGTTAATTGCTTTGTTTATATCAATTTGAACATTGGAAATTTAGAAAAGCGACCTTCAATGCGGCATACAGCAGGAACCGAAAATTACCGCTAAATATCAAGATTTTTATTTTTATATCAATGAAAAATCATTATTTTTGATGTTTATGTTTTTAAGCAAGAATAATCGTTAAATTTGCGTTTATAATTTTTCGGCCAATTTAAACGTTTTTTTTTTCGTGAACGTTATTTTGGATTTTAATTTTTGTCAATTATTTTTAACTGTTATAATGGAGACTGCGTTTTTATGGCCGATTTAAATATTTTATGACCGAAAAAACAAATATAAAAAAAAACGATGAAATTTAATTGCAAAAATAAAAATCCAATTTTAGCAATTAAATTAATGATTTTTATTATAAAGATCATTACCGTTACGGTCCCCGTTTTAAATGCATTTTAGAAATTTAAAAATTTGTTTATAGTTTCTGTTTGAGCACTAATCTAAAACATCTACAAGTGCTTACATACATATACTTTCACACACATACTCGTCTATATGTACATTACTCCACGTCAAAAAAAAAGTTCTGCAATGTGACCGCAATCTGACTCCCATAGGAAATGAAAATGAATTATTCTCTTTAGAGATCAATATAATTATCTAGGATTTGCAAAAAAGGCTCCAAACTATAAGAATACATTGAGTACATGCTTTAAATTCCAAAATTATTCTCTTTTAATCGCTTGCCCTGTTTTGGTGAAATCTAGTAGTTATAAAAAAAAAAAAAAAAAAAATGGCATGTAAGTAATCTGAGCCTGTATAACACTTTAATGGCATGTATTATTACAGTTTCGGACGTTTTAATTGATCCTAGAAAATTATACTGATCTCAAAAGAGTATAACTATTTTCCTTATGTGTTATTCCTATGGGAAAAATAAACGCTCGATGCGCGACCTCTTAGAATTATTGTAGACAAGGGAGATTCATGGAGCATAATTACTGTACCAAATATGTGTTAAAATCTGAGTAAGATTGCGGTCGTATTGCGGGATTTTTTTTTTGACGTAGTCTAATGTACAGACATACATTGATATTTAGAATTGAAAATGCAAGCATGAAAATGTAAAAACTGTATTGAGTTGCCCGCCCCTGTCAAGTGTTTCGTTAATTTTAAGCAAATGATTGTGAAAATTAGTATACATACATGCATGTATGTATATAATTAGCTTGAAATCACAATATGAAACTAAATATGTATGTACATATGTAGTATAAGTAAATATTCCAGGCCATATATACAATATCTGTGTATATATGTAATACCATGTCAGACTGTAAATTTGAAATTATAGCCATATGTAAATTTAATCTATTTACTATAGTCATAAATATGTAAATTAGACCGTATTAGAAAAAAGTTTGCCTTTTACCTCTGAGTCTAAAGTATTGTTGCAAGGAAATTTGGAAAACAAATTCTTATGCGAACTTCCGGCTTTTCCAATTTTTGTGTTAAATTTTTCGTTACATTTTCAGCATTTACAGTCAGATCTTAAAGTATGATATAAAGATGTTCTTGTCTCGAGAACACATCTTTTTTTTTTTTTGTTTCAAAGTTCATTGACCGAAAGAACCTCGTTCTAGTACTTACCCAGTTTTCAGTACTTATCACCCTAACGTACCACCCTAATGTCATTAAATTGAAGCTCACAAAAAATCAGAGAATATTTGCGAAGGAAGTACTTTGATAATTTATGCAGAACTTAAAAAAAAGATATTACAAAAAAAGTTTTTTTTTCGAAATTGCCTTGCAAAAATACTTTACGATCGGGCGTACGGCGAACTTTTTTGTTTGTTTATAAGGTGGTACGGTCTAATGGCATGCATACACATACATATGTATATATACATATGTGTGTATAATACATGAATATAAGTAAGAACCTTTAAATATGTACATTTAATGTAATTAGTGTATTGTAAATAATTAAAGAAAAACATGTATAAGTAGTCCTGCGACAGCCACTGCAATAAAGACTAAGTTTTAAAATGATGTGCACAGCTTTGAATTTATGAAAAACTGGAAAAAAATGAGGTTGAAAAACGACGGCAATAACCTATATTTATTGGCTATGTATTTTTTTATGAACGTTCAAAAGCTTAAGGGGTAAGGTTCAAGCCATGTATGCTTTTGGCACAACCACGAAAATTTCAAAATATAAAAAAGGATTGCTTTTAATCTCAATAAATCGCCAATATTTTGACTTTGACCAGCTATAACGCAGCGAGTTTTTAAATTAATATGAATAAGTTGGAGTAATATGCCGAACTTATCAGGTTATAATTAAAATTTTTGTCGAGTTGCGTTTAAAAAAATTTTAAATGTTTGTAAGTCCTGTTGGCGACCCCTAAAAATTTGTAAAAGAAATTTTAACTTTTGAGCACCACCCTAATTTCCATGCATTTCCTTACCCTCTCATTTGCATACTCTTAATTTATTTCCCATAAATATATGAATAAAAATCAAAGTAATAAGTTTTCACCGCTTCCACTGCCACCGCAATGTGTGTCGAACCAATGCCACCAGATGTCACATAAGCACGTCCGTTATCATTGCTTTGGTACACATTGATTTGAACATATGTAACAACTGCACCAGTACCACTGCTAGGATAACGCGTTTTGGCAGTCAAGGTAGTAGGAACATTGAAGTCATTTGTGCTCGAGTCAGTCGATACGAGGCGATCACCTAGCAATCACGAAATACATATTCCTATATTTATTCAATTCACTTATGCATTTTGACAAACACACACACACACACCCACCTGGAGCTCTTGCGGTACCCAAAGTATAAGTGATTTGAGCTCTGCCTTGTGGTTGCATTTCACGACCTTCAACCCGAGTCCTTGTTGCAGTCATCTCCACAGCGTCCGGATTTTCGTTAAGTATTTTATTCATTTCTTCGGGCGTAACTATTTGCAAAATCACATTTTTTCCATTCTTCAAATGCGGCTGACGAATTTCGTTGGCAGTAGCGCCCAACAAAAGAAGCGTGGTGACAAAAGGGCCAATCAAAGAAACGCGGCTTTTCATTCTACTTGTATTTGCTGCTCTGGCACCTAATTGTCTTGTATTCACACGGTTTTTATATCTATAAAAAACTGAGCGCAGTATGTAGGATGAAGAAGCTTATATAGCGACCGGAAAGGTGGCGCTTAAAAAATCATTGTCAGTCGAAGTTATCTTTCACAGTTCTTATCACACTACTACAGTTAATTTTAATTTCTTTTAACGCCCAAATATGTACATATATACATAGGTACATATACATATTTGCCGTTTTGCTGCGCCTCATACTAAAACTTAATTAAAATTATAGAAAAGCCTCATGTGGTAGTTTAATTGATATGTGTATCCTCCGTAATGATTTACGCATTTGGTGGGTGATAAACTGCTTTCATCTTCAATACAGTTATACATTTCTATGCGGCTGATAAAACAAGAAAGGAAATTATTATTTATTTGTTGATAATTTGCGCAAAACGGCCAGTATGGTTTTTTATTTTATTTTCCCCTCGCCTTATTTTGACCAATAGATTACTTCGGGGTTTATGGCTTCCTGTGTCTGCAATTTATTGTGTGTACATATGTATGCTTATCTAATTAAATATATGAATGAATTCATACGTTTGCATATGCTAATAAATTAAAAGAAAAGAAATTTACTTGAGATTACAGATTTATGTATGTATGTATGTATATTATAAATTCATACATATTTAGTAACTACTATTTTAACAAAATTCAATTTGTATTTAAATGGCCGCGGTAAACGTAACAATTTTCAAACGACTTCCTCTACAGTTCACCCTGTGGTTTGTACCTTTGATAAATTGTATGCGAGATTTGCTGGTTTAAAGAGTGAAATACACCACACAAGCGGCTTGTTAAAATATACTTCAAACCCAAGAATGATAGAATACAAGATTGCGCCGATCAGAGAGGATTTTTGAGAATAACTTTTGTGTGACGTCACACTGGTGCAATTGCGAAAGAGAAATGCCAAAACGTGATCAAGAATGGAAGAAGAAGAAAAAATTTTGCAAGGAAAAACGTAAACAAGTTGCACCAGTGTGACGTCATGCAAACAACGATTCTGTCAAATTCGTTAAGAGAGGAATAGCGGTCCGAGATCGGCGCAACCTTTGTATTCTCTCAATCGTGCTTCAAACCTACCTTTCCCATTTCGCCATTCGGTATGCAAACATGACTCGTTCAAGCAAGGAATTTTACTTTTCTTACAGTTCACAATGTAAAAAATTTTGGAAGGTTTCTTCCATGTTTCTCTCTTACGTCTTCACGTCAACATAGCGCCCAGAAAATCAAAAAATTAATAGCGAAATACAACACACAAGTGCCTTGACAAACCAAGCTATATATCGCTTTGCTGCTAGTCATTTGTGTTGTGTATGGCGGTATTTGAACGAAAATGTGAGGGATGCTTGAGTGGCCGTTTGAGGGAAATTTGAACCAAAATCAAAATATATTCATCCTCTGGCCGCCATGTTGACGTATGATCAAACCGCTTGCGTTGTGTACTGCAGTGTTGCCAGAAGTGCCAATTTATCGTCAAAATTAAGATATTTTTCATAAATAATCAGAAAAATCTTCACATGAAGGTAAATACAACTAAATAAAACTCCATATAAAAAATCGTCACAGTAAAGATATCTGGCAGTACTTGAAGATCTTTTTTTTTTTTTTTTGGATAGTTGACAACAAGTTTTTAGATTTTGTCATCAACTTTCTGCGGCACATGCGAAAATAGGACAGCTAGAGTTCTATTGTCGATTATGGATAGCGAAAAATGCACCGTCGAACTGAGCAGACTGTATACTTTGTGGTTTTTGGTGGTTGGCATTGGTAAGTGACAACAAAATGTTTGGTTTTTGTCATCAATTTACCTTGCAGGACAGGTAGATATTAATACTGATTTTTATGAATATGTTTTTTACTTGATTTTTCCTGTCAAACTCGGCTTTGTGCAGCTCAAACTCGACGTTATGAATTTCCACAAGATACAAATTATAGATCGATATTTGTTAGAGTAAAAAGGTAAGTAATTTTGGTCTCTAAATTTAGAATAATAAACTAAATTTTCTATAATTAACCTTATAGAAACATCATCATCATTATCCAATAGCGAGGATGAATGCACAGATCAGGAGAGAGTTTTTTCTCAAATAAATTTGTACAAAACCGAAATTCGTAATAAATCTTACCTAGTATCCAGCTCTCAAGAAAAGCAAAAACTCCATACAAAATGACGTACAAGAAGTGACTAAGAAATTTCCTTGTGTCAAATTTCCTCAGGGCAGTACGCAGTTTTCTAAAGTTTTTTTGTGAAAAAAGAGCACAAGGCAACCCATGTTTGCAACAGAAATATATATATGAGAGTGAGGCAACAGGCTGTGAAATATCGGATGTCAAAATTCCTTGGCCATACCCACGAAATAATGACAATTTTTTACTTGACCGTTTTCTTGAGAGCTAAGCTTAAGGCCTGTATGCAGCTCTCAAGAAAAGCAAAAACTCCATATAAAATGACGTACAAGAAATGGCTAAGAAATTTTCTTGAGTCAAATTTGCTTAAGGCAGTACGCAGTTCTTAAGGAATTTGCTACGCTTTCTACTACGGTTTTCTAAAGTTTTTTGTGAAAAAAGAGCACAAGGCAACCCGGGTTTGCGTTCTTTCCCTAACAATCCGGACCGGATCCGGTAATTAGAGAATAAGCGAAAAGTTTGCTCTCAAATATGGAACATAATCCAGAAGTACGGGAACGCAAAAAACCACATTTCGAATTTGAATTTTTGTTTCACAAATTGATTTTAAGAATATAAAGATTGAAACACATTCACTATTCCTTAAAAGCACTAGGTAAATGCAGGCAACATGTAAACACAAAACAGCTGGTATGCACTTTGACGCTTTATCCATTTTTACCCAGAGAAAAATTCCGGGCTGTTTCGGACTGGAAGAAAAAGACACTTACGATCCAATACGTTCCAATTTCGCTCTCTATTACCCATTTTGTTGAGTACGGGAATGATTTCTGGGCTATTTTGGGCACCCGCGAGATCCCGCGTTGCGTACGGGAAAGAACCTAATGGTAATTTTTTCTTGACCGTTTTCTTGAGAGCTGCATACAGGGCATAAAGCTGGAAACCATCATCTTAAGTGTTATTTTTTATAAAATGGATTATTTAAAATTTTTTTATAAAATGTGTTATGGTTTTGTACAACAAATAAAATTTTAATAAAAAAAATCTTCAATAAAGATATTTCTAGAGAAAATTTGAATGTTCAAAATTCTTCCTCTTCTTCTGGCAGTTTGACAAAATAGTCCGGGCGACTTCGGGCTAAAGCGCCACAGAGACGACCAAATATCTTTATCAACATTTTAAGTGTATTAGTTTCGTCGGTTTTTGTCGGCTACACGTACACTAAACCGACTCGTTGTCGGTTATGCTTTACTTATGGTTTACTTGACCGTCTCGCGTTGTTCTGGACAAAAAACAAGCAAAGAAATGGCTCTCAACAGCCCGAGAACCAACTAAATAAATACAAATTGGGCACTTTCGGGCACCCGCGAGCGCCCACAGGCGAGCTAGAGAACAGACTTACTAATAGGCGGCTTCGATTCGCCACTTTTCTGCTCGCTATGTTTGGTTTCCGCTCGCTTAGCGAAACATTTTGCATGTGCAAGCTGCATTCATTGTGGCAAGCATACCATAAATTTGCGCTCTGTAAAACTAACGCCAAAGTCCACGAAAAAGTTCTATGTGGACCAACCATTAGCTAGCGAGGATGGACGATAGCGAGCTTCGTACCTCATTGAGTTCGCTCCTATCACCACTCGCTAATTCTGGCGAATCGATGGCGGATATACATATATATATATATCTTACAGGTGCGCTAACGAATTAATTAATGTAGATTTTTATACCGAATCCAACCGAATTTTTATTTTCTCATCATACCCGCATAATGTTTTGACAAGATAAAACCATTTTTCTTATATAAGACATTACATCTGAAATATAAATACAAATGCATATACAAATCATTGCAATTGGTCCTACTAAACTTTGTATCCCGAATTTTGTTTCAACATTTAATAATAACAAGTTTAATTTCAAAAATCTTTTTTTTTTAATCAAAAATACCCAAATTAAACTTATTTTCTTATAAGGAGCCGGAAGCTCTATCGATCAGCTGATGAAATCAGTGTTGGGATCACACGTTCGTGGTAGTTTAAATTAATAATATTTTATTTCCAATTGTATACGCTTTCAATAAATTTATTTTCTCTTAAGCTCAAGTAAAGCTTCTTAAAAGCAAGCCTTTTTGCCTTTTTTGTGTATTTTCCAATAGTTTCTAAGGATTTCAAAAACAATTCTTCTACGCACTTGTTTATTTCTACCGACTATGGCAACACTACGCAAAATTGCATTTGTTGTTTCCGTCGCTTTATCTTGCACATTTGTGTAATTTTCCGTGAAATAAATTTGTGCAAAACAATTAATATCTGTTATTTTAACAATAAAATATACTTCTAAACGGATGAGTGATGATCGTAGAATCCAGGATGTGCGTTTGGGAGGTAAATACTAAATTCATTGAATACGTTTTAATTGTGTACATGTGGTGCTGAATTTTCATCGTTTCCTCCCTCGCTCTTTTTGCTACCCGCCACGCTTGGGATAAGGTTCGATCAACAACGTGCGGACTTATTCCCAACATAATAATTTGCCATTGGGCGAGATGTCTTCTACAGGAAAGATGCCATCACTCATTGTTTCACACATCTATGGAGAAGACATGAAAATTTCCAAATTGCTGCGTCGTCTGCAATCGGAAAACAACGCGGCTGCTGCGCTGGAACTTTGCAACAAGTTGGAAATCGCTGTGCGTGCGCAAGCAAATGCAACATATATTTGTCGCACATTCGATTTGTTGATGGATAACATGATAACTGTGTTGAAGCAATGCCCGGAAGATTGTCTAGCAAAGGCTAGCACAGTAATGGGCGTAATGGGCTACATAAATCGCAATGATTTTCCAGTTTATAAGAATTACATTATGAAGTCCTACCAGGGATATAAATCGATTAGAAAATATATAATGCTAGCGTTGAAGACTACCTTCAGGTAATATAAATATTTTATGGTGGGACTAGTTAGTATGCGACACGTATGTATCTAAACAACTTGTTTTTCGTCTATAGCTGTGATGCTGTAAATTTGGATCTCAGCGTCTACAGCGAGCGGCTACTGATCGTGTTGAAGGACTACTTAGAGAATGCTGAAGTTGCTAATACTTTCATAGCGGTATGTGAAGCGATTGTGGAATTTTCAAAAAATTATAAACGTGCATTCGAAGCTCATTTCACGGATATAGTGGATATAATTGTGGGCTGGCATTTGGAAGCCGAGCAACCGGCTAATCTCAAGCTTCAATGTTCAGTGGCGCTGCAAACGTTTGCTCCGTATTTTCTAAAAGAATTAGATTTCACATTTGGCTTGCTTGGTCAATTTCTTGAGGATATTGTTGCATTGGGGGATGAAATATCACAAGGAGCTTCACCCACTGCAGGCGAAGGAGCTGCACATTCTAGCCAAAGCAAAGTGGAAATGCGCATAGGCTGTTTTATCGGTGCATTTAACTCTATACTAAAATCGCTTTCGAATCGTATGGAATTTGTCGGTATTATTGTAGGACAAAATATTGTAAATGAAGCAGCTATGACCATTTTTAAGACGGCGGAACAAACGCTGATGGTGGCTTTAGTTACCGAAGATACTATCATGAATATTAATGACTTCTTCTGTCTGCTCTTTTCCAACAACTATGATATAATGAAGTTGGTGAATATCGAGGACTTAATAGCACTGCAAATGAAACAACTTCATTACTTTAGTGACTCGCCCAAGCTTAGTCTGCTTTATTTGATACTTTGTGTTTTTAGGCAGTTGCGCACTAAACTGCCTCTGTCTGCAGTCACCTTGGTATTCGAAACAACACACAATCCACTTGCCACTATTAAATTTACAAACAACGATAAGCTACGGCGTATGTTCCTGAAAGTATACCATGAAATCTTAATGATAAAAAATGTACCATTGCTACAGGAGACTTATCGCCACATAACTGCGGATATGTTTAATGCAATAGCGATCTTAAATACGCATGACGATCCAGTAACTGAAAATTACAGTGAGGTATTGCAAGCGGAATCGACGCTAAATTTCTGTTTAACTGCTTTGTCCGTATTGGCCACCCAAACTTCTTCGATTATCAGCATGTATGCGCTGCATCCCTCGATTTTGGAGCTGTTGATTACTAATTGCAAAGCAGGTGACATCCAAATGTGGCAACACTATCCCACATTACACAACGCCTTGCTAAATGTGCTGGTAGTGCATTGCCAGAAAAACCACAACTTTCGACCGACCTCGCGTCTACTAACTGAACCGCTATTTGCATCGAAACACGCGCTAGATGAAAATAATTCACCAACATCAGAAAATTTCAGTTTGATTTTACAATTTTTAGCTGAAATTTTATGTGCTGCTGGTGATTTAAATGTGACCAACTTGAATTTGTTACTCGACTGGGTCAGTTATATACTCATAGAGTGCCGCGAAAACGCTGCTGTGCTAGAGCAACATACCAGCTTTGTAAATATTTGTAAATCCATCAGCCAAGCGGCTTTTATATCGCCGCTAAAATGTGCTAAATGCATTGAAATTGTGCTTGAATACGCGTCAATAGACGCAGAAGTTTTGGAGTATTTCCGCGATGTTGCGACCATTATGCTCGATGTAACTGAAGCAGATGTACGACGTGCTTACACCACCATCCTTGGCAAGCTGCCACTCACAACATGCCTTACGTCTGTGCGGCTCACTACTGAGATTAGTGCCCGCAAATCACAGCTTAACGAACTCGTGCAATGGTATCGTTCAACTGCTTATTATGCGCCGATGCGCAATAAATATTTTAAACCATTTCTTGAGCGTATTGAAAATGATAAAACATGCGATGAATACGAGCCGCTATGCCAATATTCCAGCGAAGTGTTTTCGAAATGTTGGGTGGCGCGTTATCGTGAAAACTCGACAGCCTATGAAGTTGCTGTGCGGCGTAGCTGCCACGCGCTCGCGCTTTGGGTGGAATACGAGGCGGCACGTCAGTGCGTGTGCAACAAGTTACGCACCACAATCGGAAAACCGCAAGAGACGTTTCTAGCTATTGAAGCCATAATTTCAAAATATGCGCGCATATTGTCTACCAAGAGTGGACTTGCCAGGGTTTGTAATGTGCGCCAGGTGACACTGTGTCACTTGATGTCTTTGCAACGTAACACGCGGCTGCTGTTGGGCTTTATCGATAGTTTAGAAAAGCACATTTACAATGCAGCCGAAGGAACGGCATTCGCTATACCAGCACTTGATAAACCAATTAAAACTTTCTTCCGCATTAACGCGCACACTTGCAACGAGTGGTTGAATCGCATTAGACCGAGTGTGAATCTCATCGCAATGCACAGCATGATGCCGGAGCTTGTCATACGGAATTCAGAGGTAAGGTTTGGAGTTTGCCAACCATTAAAATATGTATTTAATATGATTTCAATGCATATGACGAAATTATGCGCATTGCAGGCAATTCTCCGCATGGACAAACTAAGTGACGTACAGTTGGAACACACCATTGTAACGATGGTTTGGGCGCTACTTTGCTGCGACGAGCCCTACACGCTGCAAGGGCTGCACATATGGCTTAAATCCAAACACCCGAAAGTTGCTAGACGCTGTGTGTGGATTTTATATGCCGCTGAACAAGCTTCTGGGAATAAAGAGCAAGCTGCGGATAACTACGAAGCCTTTCTCGCCGAGCACGAGTCAAACTTAGATGTGCGCATTAAAGACTTCGTTGTCGATCAGTTAATATACTGCCTACATTACACTAGCCAGTGGGCGCGTTGTCACAGAATGCATGCGCGTTACAAGAAAGGACAAAAGCCAGATGGTTTTTATTTCGAATTAGCTGAGGCCCTTGTGAATGATTACGAAAGTGAGGCGCGCCGCAGTGTGGCACTGCAAAGTGCTATTATGGACTTGTCCAACTGGTCGCAGACCGACAGGAACGATAGCAGAGCCGCGCATGCGCCAGAAACTTTTTCTTACGACTACATCACACACCAACTGCAAGATGCTTGCGTCACGCATGCGCTGAAATGGGACGCCATCGCTGCGCCTCCACTTAGCGAGGAAGTGCAGGAGTGCATACGTAGTGGTGTACAGGAACTACCCTATCACAATAGTGTGCGTGTCGGTGAGCATCGCAATGCGATAAGTGAAATTGTCGTACTCAATCATGTGGCGCAAAAGTTGAGCTCTGGCCAGCACTTGCATGTTGACAAAACAAATGATATATGTAGTCCAAAAGGCACTGAAAAATCGACTTTTTTGCTGAAATCTTTGCTATGGACTTTGCTATTTGAGCATCGGAAAGGAGCGTCTGCCGACATGCCACGTCATTATTCACTTTACCTTGACGTGGCGAACAGCGCGCGTCATGAGGGTAATTCTGGTTTTTGTCGTTCGATGTTGCAACGCTTCTTCCGGCTAAAGGGATTTGAAGATTCGCTATCCGAAGTTTCACGGCAACTGCGCGAAAATGAGTACACTGTGAGTGTACGTGATGCGGATTTGATACGTGGCTTTAGCGAGTTAGCCAAGTGCTCTTACATCAATTCGGCGAATCAAATGAACGCCATCAGTCTGGGGGCTGCATTCTGCACGCAAATCATACAACAAATACAGAAGCAACCGCACGCAACATATCCATCCAGCAGCGCAGACATGCTGCTGACACTGGCTGACTGGTTGTCGCCGCGTGTTGGTGTCCCTTTAACTTGCCACAGTGTGAGTGGACCCAGCTTGGCAAATAACAACGTCAACGCAGCCTTGGCTCTTACAGAAATACAAGAATTATTGCAGCATCTGCCCGATGTGTCGGAGCAATTGGTGAAAGAAAGTGCTGACGAAGCAATAAACACGTTGATACCACCGGCGGAGAAGGCGATTGGCAAGATGATCAATGCTAGCATCTGCCAGCAAAGAAATTCCTGCGATGCTTGGTTCGCCTATGGCAATTGGTGCTATCGCTGGGGTAAACGTCTGATGGATGCAAAGAATACAAATCAAATGAAGAGCGGACTGCCACAACGGGAAATGCACTCCATACGCGATATCATGGGCGGCAATGTCAGTGATGATGAGATCAACCAAGTAGTCAGTGTACTGAACGGCCAGCAGTTGAGCAGCATCGATGCAGAGGAGGATATAGAAAAGAGCGAACTCAGTTCTAGCGAATTGATAGAGCACGCCTTGCGGCGCGTGGACGTACTGGCTGATAAGCCATCGGAGCAAATAGCAAGCATAATCAAAATCTGGCGACAGGCGCACCGCAGCATCTACGTCTATTACGAAATGGCTACGAAAGCGTACTTCAACTATCTATCGATCGGCAATGTGCAATGTGAGACGAAAAACGCACCCAGTGATTGCACTTCCGTCACGGTAACATTGCGCTTGCTGCGTTTGATTGTTAAATATGCCGCTGGACTGCAAGATGTACTTGAGGAGGGCCTGCGCAACACACCACTGCGACCTTGGAAAGTCATCATACCGCAACTCTTTAGCCGGCTCAACCATCATGAACCTTACGTGCGCAAAAGTGTATCTGATCTACTCTGTCGCTTGGCACAGGATCGACCGCATCTAATCATATTTCCTGCGGTGGTGGGCGCGCATCAGGAATCGAAAGAGTCGACGCCAATAAGCGATAATTTGTTCGAGGAAAACAACACCGGAAATAACAAAGAGCAGAAGTGTAGTACGCCACTTTCAAATTGTTTCCGCTCATTGTTGCAAACGTTGTCACAGCAAGCGCCGGACACTGTAGCGCATGTGCAGCTGCTGGTGAGGGAATTGAAACGCGTCACCCTACTTTGGGAGGAATATTGGGCGCACTCGCTCTCGCAATTGTACAGCGAATACTCGGCACATTTTAACGCGCTAGAGGCAGAGCTGAAGAAAGCTGGTGGCACAGCCACAGAAAAAATAATGTTAAAGTATTCTATATTGATGAATCACGTGGTTTACGATATGCAACGTATTGCTGCCGTCACTAGCAAAACGGCTGATACCAACTATGAGCGAAATTTTCAAGAGCGCTACAGCGCGCTGGTCGCCAGCACAATAAATGAGCTAAATCAGCCTTTCAATCCCGCTAAGCCTTTCGATGGCTGGGTGCGCATCAAGCAGTTATACAGCGTTTTTCAGCAACGCTCACTGCGTGGCTATGCGTCCACACTGAAAATCGCCGACCTCAGCCCAGCGCTGGAGAATATGCGCAATACAGCCATATCCATGCCAGGCGTCGACACTTACGCAAAGGATCCAGTCTATATAAGATCCGTAGACAGCGCGGTACATATTTTGCCCACAAAGACTAAACCTAAGAAGTTGGCTTTCTATGGCAGTGATGGACGCAAATACACCTATCTATTTAAAGGTCTGGAGGATCTGCACTTGGACGAGCGTATAATGCAGTTTCTCTCCATTTCCAACTCGATGATGGCGCGCACGTACATGGGTGTCGATTCATTGCAGCGCACACGCGCCTTCAAAGCGCATCATTATTCCGTCATACCGCTGGGCTCACAATCGGGTCTAATCAGTTGGGTTGATGGTGTCACACCACTCTTTGCCATCTACAAGAAGTGGCAGCAGCGGGACGCTGCGTTAAAGCAACAACAAAAGGAACGTCAAGCAACACAGCAAGGTGGTGGACAACATGTGGATATTGCACCGATTGCTACGCGCCCTTCGGAGTTGTTCTACAGCAAGTTGACACCCTTATTAGCTGAGCAGGGCTTGAAAATCACCGATCCGCGGAAGCAGTGGCCACTTGCAACATTACGCCGTGTGTTGGAGGAGCTTATCAAAGAGACACCAAGAGATTTGCTGGCTAAAGAGCTGTGGTGCTTTGCTAATACGGCCGTCGACTGGCGCAACTCAGTGCGCAGTTATGCCTTATCCATGTCTGTGATGTCAGTCATAGGCTATGTGATCGGCCTGGGTGATAGACACTTGGACAATGTGCTGATTAACTTAACTTCAGGTGAAATTGTGCATATCGATTATAATGTATGCTTTGAGAAGGGCAAAACCTTACGCGTGCCCGAGAAGGTGCCGTTCCGTATGACACCCAACTTGGAGGACGCCTTGGGTATAACCGGCATTGAGGTGAGTGCAAACAAATTCATAATTGATAAAGAGAGCGATATATGCAATCTATAAAGATAGATATAGTCGATTGAGAGAGATGTAATCAATTGAGAAAGAGATAATGTAAGGAGAGATGAAATCGATAAGAGAAAAATAGTAGATAATTAGTTAAGAAAGCGGTAAATAGCAGCTAAGCATTACAGCACTCGTTAAATAAATCAAAAAACCAGAGGCTGGCAAATTCATTACAAATTGCTTTTGTGTAACAAAAGAGACTGTCGTTATACGTTCATTAGAAGTCATGTTTAAATTACTAGTACATAATTTTTAAACAAAAAATAAAACCGACTTCAATTCTCATATAAAAATTTAAGATGATCGTTAATCTCTTCATGATCCCATGATCGGATTTAAACCAAATTAGAAAGGGACCACCTGGACGTGGTCCAAAGTTATATTAGTATTAGGTATGTTTCTTAGTCGGAGGCGATATTTTGAGAAATGAACACGTGAAGCTGTGAAAGGGCTGAAGAAAACAGGCCAACATATTTTTCACATATAGCTCCCATTCTACTGATTGTTCGATTGTTCAGATATGCGATTTTTTGTTATAACTCTATTCTATATAAGCTTTATCTCCTATACCACTGATTGCTCAGATACCAGTTTTTGCGATATATCTCCTTTATGTAGGAAGCTAAACCCACTAAATTGTGTTACCGGTTTACATACCGATCACACAACAGTCAAAATCACTTAGTTTGGTGCTGTATAAGGTATATCTTCCATACCTCTGATTGTTTAGATATTATTTTTTGTTTTAGTTTATTTAATGTTTATTGTTTTTTTTATGAAAATATAGCTGATTACTCAACAAACACCATATAAGTCGCAATTTCAGACTTTGTGCAAAAATTATGAAAATTCTCCAAAATTTCACCAAATATTTTAATCAGCATCTTTACAAAATGGTATGTTTGCAGTTTTGAAGTCCATTAAAATTTAGTATGATATGGTGAAAATTTAAGTAGCTAGGACTTACCGTTGATTTTTGTATTTTTTTTATAACAAAACATACAAAGTATGTTCTAAAATTTGTTTATATGGAAAAAATGCGGAACGCCGTCAACAAAAAATTGCCAAAAATCAACGATAAGTACCAGCTACATACCTTAAAAATGTACTTTACTGTAATCCAGAATTTTCTTAATTTTTGCATAAAATATGAAATTTGGATTTAAATGGTGTTTGTAAGTAATCAGCTATACTTTAAAAAAATAATAATAAGCTAAAATGTTGCGTACCAGTTCATATTTGGTTCACCGTATATTCACATAAAATAAAAATAATTGAAATCGGCCCAGTATTATAAGACTTTTCGGAATTCTTTCAATTTTATATACTTAACACAGTCCAGGTTGAAAATGTTCACCAAGATAAGGCTATCAGTTACAAATATTTGAATTTTAAGAAAATACGGAAAATAGCGAAATCGGCTAAAAACAGCTAACTTTTTTTTTGCAAAACGGCTAACACATCGGCTGCCAGCTAAATCGGCCAGCCGGAAAACGGCAACACTGGTAAATAAATAGATAGACAGAAAGAGAGATCAGTATATAGGGAGAAAGAGAGATCAGTATATAGGGAGAAAGAGAGATCAATATATAGAGAGAAAGAGAGGTAAATAGAGAGAAAGAGAAATAAATAGAGAAAGAGAGAGATAAATAGATTCAGAGATAAAAAGAGAAAATGGCAGAGAAAAAGAGACAGAAAAAGGAGAGAGAGAAAACGGAGAAATAGAAAAAGGAGTGGGAGGGAAAGCAAAGAAAGTAAAAGGAAAGGGAGAGAAAGAAAAACGGCACAGAGAGAAAGGGGAAAGAAAAAGAGAGCGACAAATAGGACAGTTAGAAAAAAGGGAGAGAAGATGAGACGGAGATCAAAAAGAGGAAGGTAGACAGGAAAAGAGAGAAATGGAAATAGAGAGGGAGAGAAATATAAATAAAGGGAGAGCGAAATAGAAATAAAGAGATACACAAATTGAGGGATAGATTAAAATTTGTATTTCCTCTTTATTTACCATTTTTCTTAAATCTATTATGGCTCTTCGCCTCAGTCATTTTTGTTCTTGACTAGCAACTGCTTTCTCGTTGATCAGGCGCCCGATTCCTTTGATCGGTGCTGCCGTGGGCATCGGGATAACAGCTATTGTAATTGTACTGTTGCGTCGCGGTAAACTTTGTATTGAATTCACACTACACGCTATCAAATCCATAGCATTCGGCTTATTATGATTCGGATTTTTGCAACGCAACAAACGCCAATAAGCTCGACGAAAACTCTTATTCTTCCAGCAATATATAATTGGATTCATAGCTGAATTGAACATGGCTAAAGAGAAGGCCATTTTGTATATCACCAATGATATGTTGTACACTTTTACTATCTCCAAGCAGACGACAATGAAATAAGTGAGCCAGCAAATGGAGAAACAACCCATTATCAAAACAACAATCTGTGAATGAAGAGTGGAAAAATTGAATATGTGTGTGTACAAAATTTAATGATAAGGAAGTAAATACGTAAAATAGGAACATTTATGGATGTGCATTAGGGCGGGTCAATTATTATTTTTTTTTTTACTATGCGCGTATAGCATAAGAGGGTTCTACGTGTAATTCTAAGCACGTTTACCGAACAAACCATGGGCCTGAAATCAATTTGGAGTTTGCCGAATTGCGAAAATTGGTTTTGATGAAAATGTGAAAAATTTTACCGTTGCGTTTAAGAAAAAGATAAGTGCAAAAATGGATTCCTCATACCAAAAGACCCTTGTTGCATATCTTTACACAAAATGTAAGCACTTTACGACACTTTCGTCTGCAAATTTGCTAAGAATTACACGTAGAATCCATGTACACGCGCATAGTTGAAAAAAGCTGCCATACAAATTGACCCGCCCTAATGTGCATATGTGCGTGGAAACATAAAATATCCGAAACCATAATTGTAATACGTAGATGAGTATTTTTTTTTGAGGCGTGAGTAGCGTAAATTTTTATTGACAGCTTTATTTATTTACTAGACAGCGATTTATTTTATGCTTCTTCATGTTGTTCGCATAGTGGAAATACTTTTACGAGCGCTTGTTGGTTGTTATTAATATAAAAGGCGGCATTTTGTCTTTTTATGCCACAGATAACGGCATAGTTGTTGTCTATTTATAGGCGCACTCTCCCACATGCAACGGGGTAATGAATGCACTCAGTCTCGCACAAATAGGTGTGCTTGATTTATGTAAATTCTGTATTAAAAACGATTTTGGTTTGAGCAAAGTACTTACAGTAGCAGGCAAATAAATAGGGGAGCGACATTTTAAAAAGTTTTGATTTTTTCCTTTATTTTATTTTATTTTTTATGAAAGCCAAAGGCCAAATAATTCCATATTTCATATTTTGTTCAAAAATTTAGGAAATTTCGACGAAGTTTGATTTTTGACGATTTTTTTTTTGCCCACGGTAAGTAAGAAAATTCACGTCAACAAAAAAAAAATAACCTAACATCAACAGTCAGTCCTAGTTACTTCAAAGTTGCTCTAAAATTTAAAGGTTGCAGCCATACCTAGAATTTTTCTTAAATTCTGAATACAATTTTTTATAAATCTTTTTCTAAATTTGAAAGTTGTTTTTATAGACCGTGAGCTATATTTTTATAAAAAATAATAAACATTAAATAAACAAAAGAAAATAGCCAAAACTCGTTAAAATATCGCGTCCCTTTATATTTTTCCGCCATTGTATATCAGTAGGTAAAGAATATCTCCTTTTTCGAATTCACTGAAGTTGCCTGTCTCGTAGCGACGGCTGAGTTGAAGATCGGCATATCTCGGCTTATCTATCCGTATACGTGAATATGCGAACGCATATCCAAATGTACGGATAGCCTGAGCCCTAATGTATTCCTTGATACTTGATTTACAAAAAAATCCTAGTGTGTCTAACTCAATGCCAGCTTGTGTACATATACATATATGCACCACTATCAAGTACACCCTTATTCGTCATAAAATTGTTAGAACAAAAACAAACAGCTTTTCTATGTACATACGGCATTATTGCTTTCTTCCTCAAACGCTCACCTGCATAGACTTCCAATCTGGTATGCGGCGTCCCAGTTTTTTGCTGCAGCGTCTCTTCATTTCACGATTGCAACGCGATGGTTCCATTTGCTTTGCGGCTTCACGCATTATACGCCAATAAATCAAGAGCATGAATAACCAGATCAACACAAAGCCCGGTATTATGACACCAGCCATATACCAGATGGGCAATACCTGATAGAATTCACATTCAATGGCAGTTTTGAAGCGATTGCTGAAAACCGGTATGATGGCCACCGTCGCACCTGCCATCCAATTAAAGGCGATAATGAGGAAAGATACGCGGCGTGTCATGAACCTAAAATGACAATGGTACGAGTACTTAGTGTAAAAATGTCGCAAAAAAGGATCCAAAACTTTACAACTCACCGCCTATAGTGCAACGCATATACGATTGCTATATAACGATCCACAGCGATTGTAATGAGTGTCATTATGGAGACACAACAGGAGAAAATGATGAGAACGAATCGCAGTACGCAAAAAAGTTTCGATTGTCCGAGATTTGAGCCTAAATAGAAGGCGATGTGGTAGGGTAGCAATAGGCCAACTCCAAAATCCGATACGGCGAGCGATAGTATGAAAATATTTGCGATTAAGCTGCGCAAGCGCCGACACGTGGTAATGGCCAATATGCTGAGTGCATTGCCCGCAACTATGCAGATCATTATGAGTATGTTGCATGTGACCCAAAAAATGGTCGATGTGCCGATGCCAGCAATGGAGACGGCGGAAACATTTAATGCGGATGATGGCGTTGTGCTTGACTCGGCTAGGGTTGTGGATTGAACCAATGCTAAGACCGTATCATTTATAATTTCATACAAAGCGAATTGCTTAGTTGCCATTTCTGTTTGTAATAGTTGCTGTTGTTGTTGTCGTTCTAAATATTTTGACTCCCTTGCGTTACATGTTTTTTGATCGATTGCGTGTAGCATTTGATGATGATATTCCAATAGGTTTAGCGCTATTGCTGTTGCTGACATTCAATCAAAGTGGCTAATCAGCTCGTTGTCGTTTCAACGAAAGAGTCTATTGTTTTTAGTTTTGCCGCACCACTACAAATTGTTGTTTATCGCTGCGCAAGTTGAACATAACTGTTCTCTCATTTAGTTGCTAAATCTATAACTGGAAATTTTAGTCGGACGTAAGATAAACGGAACTGCCAGTTTTCCCACGCCACTAATATGTCCCGCCGTTTTGTAAATATCCACTCAATCATCGGTAAACACCCGCGATTTTATTGCTATACTGGCGATAAGCGGATTTTCGTTTTTGGTAAAAAAGGAAGTGATGTTAATCTGTACTCATTGTCAGTGATACATGTGTTGATGTCGATTCGAATGTGATTAATCAACATTAGAACGGTATTCTTTTAGCAGAAAAAATCCACGACACTCTCTAGTGGAATGTTCCACTTTTTTTTGCTTAGTCAGCGACCATGATTATGGGCAGCTGCTGCAGTTCGCCAGACCTAACAATTGTCAGCGCTGGTCTGATAAACAGCATATCATGGCGACCTATGCTGACTTTAGCATCAGACCATCTGCCCATAGACATCTCGATTGATAAACCAGCCGACTTTGCTTCCGCGGAACACCGGACCTATGTCAACTTTCCTAAAGCTGACTGGAAAGGCTTCGCGAAATTTACTGAGAGCACCTTTGCTGCGCTCCCCACACCAACCGACGTCCACCTTGGTGAACGTAAGTCCCGCAGGGTTGTCACTGCAGCTGCAGCCCACTTCGTTCCAGCAGGATGCATTTCAGACCCCCGTCCGGAATTTCCTGCTGAAGCGGCTGTCCTAGCCGATGAGCGTGACAACCTTCGTCAGGCCGATCCCGGAAAACCCCGTATCAGGGATCTTAACTCGAAGATTCGGCAACTTGTGAACATATATAAGCAGAAGAAGTGGGAAGAGCATCTGAAGACCTGCAACTTCGCCTCTGGTGTGAGTAAGCTTTGGTCAACCGTGAGGTCATCGTCCAACTCGACGAAGCGTGACGACAGAGTTGAAATAAATTTTGGAGACCAGATTAAACGAAGATGTGCCAAACAAATGCCCGGCATGCGGAAAGACGCCCAATGACTCACAGCATCACCCCACCCTACTGACGCCCCTGTCCCTGTGAACAGACCCCATCGAGGCTGCACGCTTCCTGGGGCTACCACTAGTAGAGCTTGACGACCACGATTGAGGGACTAACCGATATGGGCGGGATTGTTGTAGCCGCTACAGCAACAACAACAACGATTTTCTCAGTACACTTTGTATAATTAGTTGCGTTCCAGGTGCTTCACGATTTGCAGGTTTTACAGGATTTGCAGGAACAGCTGTTTTCTCCATTAATAAACGTTATGGAAGGGTGGTCACCTGGAACGACTTCCTGTAAAAACCTGTAAATCGTGAAGCATCTGGAACGCAACTATTATTTCGAAAATAGCTCCAAATGCAGGAGTTTTTAATTAAACCCCATATCTCTGAACAATCAGTTGTATGGAGCCTATAGGTTACTTTTTGTTGATACTGAGTGAAAATAGTGCAAAATTTCATATTCGTAGCTGCAGAAATGGATGAGTTATGACAAAAAATCTCATATGGGTGTTTCCAGCGGAAGGTCCACCACGACAAAAAAATAAAAGTTTTATATCTAACGTATTTACGGGCCGATTTGTCTGCTTTTTAAAATATATACTGGCTATGTAAGTAGAATCATCTTTGCATAAAATGGTCTTCCTAGGTGGTGCCAAGGTCGAGATATTTCGAAAAACCGTATTTATGGTCTGATTTGGTTCGAATTTGGCGTATGTGGTTGAAACATAATAAATCATAGATTTCTAATAAATTGACCCTGAATTGGCGCTGAAGTCAAAATATAAAGTATATTCTACATAAAATACATGTTTTATTTGCGTTAAAAATTCATTTAGTCTGATGCATCCCCCGGACAATGTTTCCGTAGTTTTTTGCGGACTCTGCGTGGCTAACCTTGCGTTTACATTAGACAAGACAATTGAGAATATGTATTAGTCGTCAAATTCTTGTGTAAAGTAGGCGTCCGGACAATTTTAAAGACAAAACACTTTCCATCAACCGCCATTAGCGTCGTTGGGCGTGAATTTCATATTATTTCCTAAAATATCCAAACACAAGCCAATTTTTCATAGTTCTGCGATTTTCTGCAATTATGTATTGCTTCTTTTCCCCAAATTAACCAAGTGGTTACCGAATTGTCCACTTTATTTACAAAGAAAGAAAGTTGCGCCAGTTTTTAATTTTTATTTATTTATATTTCACATCGCCCAGTATGATATTTAAAAAAAGTATACTATTTTGTGACACCTTAAAAACCAGTAGTAGGTACAAAATACACATAAATGTTTGATATGCCTTGGTTAGTCGCAACTTATTGATGTACATACATATGTACATTAGGGTGGTCCAAAAGAAGTAAAGTCGGAATTTGAATGCTCTCACCCTCTAGAATTGTTCTATACCAAAAAAATTATACCCATGCTTTTTTTTTATTGTCAAATCAAAAAATATTTGAGGTCCCTTAAAATTTATCATGTATTTTATATAGGGAAAATACATTTTTTCGTAGTAATGGTATAGAATTCTTGGAAATCAATATTTTTCCATCGTAAAATTCTGTTTCTCTTTAGGAGACTTCCAATAATAACACCCAATTTTTTATTTGAGCATTTTCTAATATTAACTCCTTTTATGGTTAAAAAAAATGTTTTGTTCTTATCGGAAAGATGGTAGGTATCTCAAGGGTGGTCCCATACAAATTTGGTTTATTTTTGTTAGTGGATCGTGAAGAAATTAACGGTAGTCCTAAATTTTTATATGAGCATTGAGGTCGGATGTATTTTTTGTTTAAAAATTACTTGCAACTACATAAATGTTTGTGTTTGATCGACTTGTGCATTCACTCAGCATTCGTTGTTAAGTTCGTCTAATTTGTGAATGAGTAAATAGTGGTGGCTGCTGTGACCGGGTGTTAGAAGTCCGTAGGTTTGATCTCTGCTTATCTAAATTAGAAGAGGTTTTTTGTAACAGCGGTCTCCGTTCGGCACGCAATGGCAAACCTCTGAGTGTATTTTTGCCACGAAAAAAGCTTTTTTAAAGGCGACGTAAAATTGTAGGTCCTTCTATTTGTGTAACAACATTTGCAACTTCCAGAATATATATATATATATATATATATATATATATATATATATAT